GGGGGTGGGAGGGTGGGGGCTGGCGGAGAGCAGGGAGTGCCAGTGGGCTGTACCATGTGCACTGCGCAAGCTCGGCACACACCATGGGAGCCCAAACGGGCACAGACTCTGTCCGCGTGTGCTTCTTAACTGCTGGGTCCGCTCCACCAGGCATGAGTCATCTCATCTTCCATCACCACCGCCCCCATGTGACAGCACTGCCCACTGAGGCTGGAGAGAGGCCGACTCTGTCCACGGAGCACAGGCTGGGTCAGCGGAGTCTCCGGGTTGTTGTGTGCAGACGGCAGCAGCAGTGCCCCGGACAGCCATCCGGCCCAGCCTGGCCCCGGCCGCACACAGTCCTGAAGGAGGAATGGCTCATGCCCACATCAGGGCGGGATGACCAGACACTGCACAGGGCACAGTTGGGGAGAGATGGCCAGGAAGCCTGGGGCTGGGCAGTGAGAGATCGGAGTCAGGGTCCCGCCCCGCTGTGTGATGCTGGGTGACGCTGGGTGAGACGGGGCTGTCTCTGAGCAGCATGCCCTCTGCTGACCGGATGATACCACCGCCTCCCCCTCTGGCCACCACCTACTTCTATTTATTTCTTCCGCTATCAGGATGTCTTGCTCTCTGACGAATCTCCACAACCTGTGTGTGTGCCCGGCAGGCTCATATTTCTTGAATAAATACATCAGTCCAACAACAACAAAGCCTGGTGCCTTTTGTGCGCCCGGCTGTGGTGGTGTCAGGGTTGTGCGTTGGGCTGCCAGCTGCCAGGCCAGCAGTTTGAAACCACCAGCCGCTCCTCGGGAGAAACACGGGCTTTCTACTCCTGTCAAGAGTCCCGGTTTTGGAAACTCGCCGGGGCAGTTTTGCCCTGCCCTACCGAGTCACTGTGAGTCGGCCGGCGCCCACGCAACCGGATGGCAGCGAGCTTGGTTTTGCGTATGCCAGGAAAGGGGCCTTTGCACAAGACCTCTTTAAGGGGTTCAAGATCAAAGGTGTCAGTCTGAGGACTGAAGGGCACCTGGCCCAAGCCGTGGTGTTCCCAACCACCCCGTGTGCATGTGCCGGGCAAAGAGGGGCAGGCGCGTTTGCACGCTGGGCCGGGGGAGCGTGGCCTGACTTGAAGGAAGCCCAGCCGGGCTCCTCCTCAGAAGACTTCATCTCCCGGACTTTGGACTTGGGATCAGGACTAGGACGTCATGGTTGGTAAAACCAGGGCCAGCGGAAAAGAGGCGGCCCCTCCTCAGCCGGGTGGGCAGTGTGCCTGCCACCGTGAGCTCCCACTTCACAAAGGGGAGGACGGCGCCACCGGGCCGCGTCTTGCTCTGTTGTGCTCTGCGTCGCTCTGAATTAGAATGGACTGGGCAGCTCCTCACACAGCTCTGTGCCAGGTGTCTGCTGGGCCCTGGGCACACATGGTAGCCCAGACGGGCACAGACACATGCCCGCACGTAGCTCTAAGGGTTGCCCACCCTGTTGTCAAATTACACCTGGAGTCAGCTCTCCCACGACGGAGTGTGTGTCGTGGGAAGGTGTCATGCAGAGATGTGACCGGGTGGGAGAAGTTGGGGTGTTTGAGCTGAGAACTGGGGGCTGTCGGTGTGAGTGGAGGAAGTCCAGGGAGAGCCTTGGAGACAGAGGAAACCGCACCTGCGGTGGGGCGTCGGGGGACAAAGAGCAGGCACGGGGACCGGGGAGTGGGGTGCGGCTGGTGAGGGGTACAGGCCCCTCCGCCCGGACAGGAGGCCGCGCTACCCTCAAGGACACCAGGGAGCCACGGAGGGGAGTGAGAACCCCTGCGTGTTTCTCCCGGGGTTTTCTGGCTGGGGTGCAGATCAGAAGGCCTCCTTGGATGGCACAACTAATTCAGTGCTTACCTACCAATAGCAAGGTTACTGCTTCAAACCCACTAGAGGTGCTTTAGCAGGCAGGCCCAGCCATCTGTTTCTGGAAAACCCTATGGAGCAGTTCTGCTGGGCATGCTCAGAGTCACCCTGCGTCACACTCAGCCGGACGGAAAGAGGTCAGGATTGGAGGGGAGGGGAAGGGAGGGCTGTCCTCCGGCTGGCTGGGGCCAGGGTGGTGGTGGAGGCAGAGAGAAACCCATCCTTCTCGTCCACCTGCATCAGGCCCCGGCTACCTTCCTGGCTCTCCCCGCCTCTCCCACCGGACTGTCAGCCAGCATCCCACAATCAGAGCGGCCTCCGGCCTCTGTGACCCCAGACAGACGCACTTCAGTGACTGAGCCATTTCATGTTTCCCAAATGAAGGGGCCTTCTCACGTGGGGCTGATGTGCACTACGGGAGGAGAGGCGGCCAGGAGAGTCAGATTCAGGGCTGTGACTCCCAGGTGGTTCTGCTGCCACAGCCCAGGCTGCCATGACTGCCCAGTAGGTGGACAGAGGCTGGCATAAGGCCACAGAGTTAGCCACCCCAAGCCGAAGCAGGGCGTGCTGAGCGTGGTAGCGGGATGGGAGGAGAGGGGAAGGGCTGGTACAGGCAGAGGTGGGGGTGGGTCCTCACCGCTAAGGGCACGATGGAGGCCCGGCCCTTCTTGGTGACAGGCTTCTCCTTCAGGCTGGTCAGGAGCAGATCCAGGAGGTCTTGGACGTCACAGCTGGGCTTGCGCAGGATCAGCTGCCGCCACATCTCTGCTCCGTTGCTGAGAGGCCACGGGAGGGGCGGTCAGTATCGGCCAGGGCAGGGGCCCCACCCTGCCCCCACGGGTTTGGGGAGGGCTACGAGAAGCTGCCATCTGTCACGACAGCCATGGGCAGGCCAGCCAGGAATGGTCCGGGAAGCACTCCCAGGAAGCGGGGTGCTACCAGTGATGGAAAGCATAATTTCCCAGGTGCTTACAGATGAGGGGCCTTCTGACCGTGTGTGGGAAATGGATTTCAAAGACAGGGGACGCAGAGTCATTTGGAAAGGGACCCCCGTGACAGTCGCGCAGCCCGAAGAGCATCATTGATGGCACTGAATTCTACACGCGAGGCTGTGGGACCAGAGCCCGTGTGCTGTGGATCATCTTGCCACGATTTGAAAGGCAGTGATCCCACGACTAACAGCCAGGACAAGGAAGAGGAAGATGCTCTCGAGGTGACTGGTCCTGGTTGCACTGGTCCATGGGGTGGAACTACTGGACTGTAGGCCGCCTGGACAAAGTGCCCGGAAAGCTGTTCACATAAAGCGATGGCGGACGTCTCCCACAACCCCTCGGAAGCCCGCCGCACAGCGGATCCCCTGAGCAAATACTCATTGCGTGTTCGCTGAATGGGCGGGCCAGCCCTCTGCGGGTGCAGACGTCTATACAAGGTCACGGGTGCTCACGACCCTGGGAGCGAGGGTTGGTACTGCCATCTGACAGATGTGGGACCGAGGCTCTGAGAGCAGAAGTCCCCCGTCCAAGGCCACAGAGCTGATGAGCCACAGAGTCAAGCTCTGACCAGGAATGACGGCCAAATGTGTCTCGGAGGACACATTTGGTTAAACGCTAGCAAAAAGGTTGGCTCTCGGGATCCACCCAGCGGGCCCTGGAAGAAACACCTGGCCAACGGCTTCCTACGGCTCACAGCCTGGGGGCACAGTTCTGCTCAGAACTGACCCCACGGCAATGGTCAGGGCTTGTTAGGATTTGGCTTTTAATGTCCTCAAAGCCCGCTCTTTCTCACGCGCCCTGCAGCCCAGCCCGCTGGGGCCTGGAGGCAGCTCTTGTTCTGCATCATTGGGCCTGTGTGGTAAAGAGTTAACAGAAACCTTTCCCCCTTCAGGCCTGAGACTTTGAACCTGCCAGGCACAGCCCCCCTCCGTTTCCCAGGAAACCTGATAAAGAGAGTGTGTTAACTATGTTGCTAGGCAACGCTGCATATGGTAAAAATGGCCTGGCTGGTCACTGGTCTGGTCTGGAAGGAATTATAAATACACTGTAAGAACTGGTGGGGACGCCACCCCGAGGAGCTCCCCGGGTGCAGTGACTTGTGCAACTGGCTGGTCCCAGTGGGGACGCCGGCGGGGAGGCCTGGGCAGTGAATCTGAGAGAAACTGGTTCCTGGGTGCCTGGGGCAGCACCTGCTCCCAGCCCAGCCCACGAGCGAGCGCTGGGAGGCCTGAGAGACCAACTGGCAGACCCAGGCAGCAAGGGTTCCATCCCCCTGGTGGGGCAGGTGCCAGCCTGGCCCTCACCGCCCTGGTAACTTAGGCTTGAGATACGGTAGCTCTCCTTGCTGGAAGCATACCCCATTCGCTCAGCTCTGGACAATTTTTTCTCTTCAAGCGACTGTGTTTGACTGCTCAACCAAAGGCACCCAGAGGTGCTCAGGAAGAAAGGGCCCAGTAATGGGCTTCATTGGACATGACCGCTAAGAGATCCCTGTGGAGCTGCTCTATGCTGATGCACACGCGTCCGACTCGAGTCGGAACACGACAGCAGTTAACAACAGCAACTCACAATGCCCCACCTATCCATTCACAGAGCACCTGGCCGTGGTGCCCACGAGCTCACCCCTCTGACTCAGGCCCCCTCTGCCCATCAGAACGTGAGCAAGACGTGTCTGTCCTCTTGCACCCACCTGGCACTCAGCCCCCACCCCCAAGTCGGGATGCAGGGATAGTTCTGCCTTTTGACTGTGGGGGAAACACTGACGTCCAGAGAAGGCTAGCAGCTACCCAAGACCACACAGCGGCTGGAGGATGAGTCAGGGAAAACCCCACACCCCAAACCAAATTTCACTGCCCTGAGTTGATTCCAACTCTTGGGGACCTGTGGGACAGAGGAGCACCTTCCTTGGTGTCTTTTTAAGACTGTACATCGTTATGGGAACAGGAAGCCTCCTCTTTCTCTCGCAGAGCTGCCGGTGGTTTCAAACTGCTGACCTTGGGTTAGCAGCCCAGCGTGTACCCACTCCACCACCCGGGTCCCCGCCTGCTTTTGCTAGTGTTGTTAAAGAACTCTAGGCTTGCAGACCATCCGGCTCCAAGGTCTGGTTCAGGTCCTGCTTGCTCACTGCCCCAGAGCCTCAGTTTCCCCGCCTGTGGAATGGGGTTGTTGTGAGAATGGAGAATGCACTACGTGCCCAGCATGAGGCAGCCCTCAGCCATAGTGCTCCTGAGGAAAGGCTGTCCGAGAGGGCAGGGGAACAGCAGAGGGTCTCCTAACCCCTGGTTGGTACCTGTCCAGTGGAAGGGGGCACATCAGCAGAGCCACCACCACCTCGGTCATGAAGGAGCTGGCCAGGAGGGAGACGGGCAGCAGGGCCACCTCGCGGGCACGCGGCTCCTGGATGTGGCTCAGCTTCACGTAGATACCCTGCATGATTTCCGGGATCTAGGGCACAGAAGGTGGGAGGGGACAGAGAAGCCAGGGGAGACATGAGGGGTGAGGGTGAGACGGAGAGAGGATGTGAGAGACAGGGGAGGTGGGCAAGAGGGAGGAGTATAAGGGGGAGCTGGGGGTGGGGGGAGCATGCAGCACAATGCCTCCTGCCATGGGCTGAGACCGCTGGACTCCTCGCTCACGCCAGATCAGGCGGCTTTCTCTTTGGGGAGGGGAGCAGTTCTGGGGGTTCCCAGAACTCAGATACTACCCCTCCTCCACTGTCCTCCTTGTCCAAACACGAGAAGGCTGGGCAGAGTGACAGGCAGGCCCCGGAGGGTCTCCCAGAGCCCAGAGACAGCCTTACCCCTGCCCCCCAGGGAGCCTTACCACCTCCAGCGCCCGGTGCCTGTACCACTCCAGCACGGAGCTGAGGGTGACCTCCGAGGCCAGCTGCATCCTTTCTCCGGAGCCCTTCCCAAGGATGTCTGAGATACTTGTCAGCCCTTCCAGGGCTGCCAGCAGCAAGTCCTTCACCTGCTGGGGCCCCAGGAATTCCCCAAATTCCTGAGATAAAGGTGCAGAGATGCTGACTCAGCTGGAGCAACACCAAGACCCAGACCCACAGACCCCGAGGGGCTCTGTCCATGGGAGGGATGGCTGCAGAAGATGAGGTTCTGTGGTCCCCACGGGGCGGGCGGGAGCTTGTGGAGCAGAGGAAAGGGGAGGAGGCCCTCAGGTGGTGGGAAGGCCAGGGGAGGCGCTGGGCAGCGGGCACTCACAGCAATCACGCGCAGGATGTTCTGGCACGGGCTGGTGGCATTGTAGGGCCCCAGGAAGCGCTTGTTGCTCTCATAGAGCTCCTTCTTGTTGGTCTCCTCCTTGTTCCTGGCTCCTTCAGGAAGGAGCAGAACTCAAGCTCACACCAGGCTGACATATCCCGTCGTCGAGTCAGCTGGGTCCCCAGACCCGGGCCCTGACCCTTCCCATCTGGCTGGAATTGCACTCAGCCCCACAAGACAATAGTCAGCCATTCAAGGTCAAAAGGACATGGTTTCCCCATGGACAGAGTTCAGCGGGGTAGACAAGATGAAGGAAACACGTTTCAGGGCCTGGGGTCTACCCGCATCTCCTCAGTTATACAAGACCCAGGGACCAAAAATCCCTTGAGACAGTGTGATCTTAGGGACCAAGGGTGGGGATTGTTGGAAAAGGGAAAGATTTTGAGGTCTAGGATCTGGCAGACTCAGGGTTCAGTGCTCCCTATAGTTGGGGAGGAGGGGGGCGATTAGACAAACTACCTCATTCCTTGAGACTCTAACACTGTGCGTTTGAGCTACACTTGCAAGATAAAATATGACATGTCCAGTTACATTTGAATTCAGAGAAGCAATGGTTGAATTTTAGTATAAGCAGGTCCCAACTGTGCTGCTGTCATTGTTAGGTGCTATGTCAGTCTGGGTAGACTAGAGAAACAAATCCAGGGAGACTCATATGTATAGGAAAGAGCTTTATCGCCAAGAGTAATTATATATTAAGAAAACATCCTGGCCCAGTCCAGATCAAGTCCATAAGTCCGATATTAGCCCATATGTCTGATAGTAGTCCATAACTTCTTCTACAGACTCACGCAGCACACGCAATGATGCTGGGAGCAAGAAGATCACAGACCAGTGGGTGGAAAGTCTTGTGGAAGCATCTCATTGCTGGCACCGCTCTCCATGTGGCTCCTCCAGCTCCAGGGCTGGCTGCCATCAGCATAGCTCTATGTGACAGGTCAACAGAATGTGGAGCAGAAAGCGTGTGTGTCTCGGCCCCAGGGAGGAAGATGGGAATTCCCAGAATCCTCAGGAGAAGCCCATTAGCGGTATCATTGCTATGACCTGCTTGACAGGCTAGACTCCACCCCTTCCCTCAAGTTGACAGGCAATTACGGAACTGCCACAGACGCCGGCCATTGAGCCGGTTCTCGTCACGCGCCTGGGCACAGCAGAAGGAAACCCTGCCTGGTCCTGCACCCTCCTCATAACTATCCCGATACTTGAGCCCATTGTCGCAGCCACTGTACCAATCCATCTTGTCAGGGCTCCTCCTTTTGCTTACCCTCTACTTAACCAAACATGACGTCTTTCTCTAGGGCCGTGTTCTCAGCCTTCCCCATGCCGCGACCCTTTACTACAGTTCCTCATGTTGTGGTGACCCCCCCCCCCCCCACCAACCATAACATTGTTTATGTTGCTATTTCATCACTGTCATTTTGCCACTGTTATGAATCGGGCGACCTCTGTGAAAGGGTCATTCGACCGCCAAAGGGGTCATGACCCACCGGTTGAGAACCGCTGCTCCAGGGGCTGGACTCTCCTGACAACATGTCCGAAGTAGGTGAGTCAAAGTCTTGCCATCCTTGCCTCTAACGAGCATTCTCTCCAAGACAGACCTGTTTGTCCTTTTGGTGGTCCATGGTACTCTCAGTGTTCTTCTCCAGCACCAGAATGCCAATGCACCGATTCTTCCTTGGTCTTCTTTATTGAATGTTCACCTTTCACATGCACATACTATGGCTTGGGTCAGGCCCACCTTAGTCCTCAAAGTAACATCATTGCTTTTCAACACTCTAAAGGCATCTTGTGCAACAGATTTACCTAATGCAATGCATCTTTGATCTCTGGACGGCTGCTTCCATGAGCATTGATTGTGGATTCAAGTAAGACAAAATCCTCGACAATTTCAACCTTTTCTCCATTTATGATGATATTATTACCTATTGGTCTAGTTGTGAAGATTTTGCTCTTCTTGACATTGAGTTGTAATCCATGCTGAAATCTTTGATTTTCATCAGCAAGTGCTTCAAGTCCTCCTCACTTTCAGCAAGCAAGGTGGTGTCATCTGGATGTCGCAGGTGGTTAATGAGCCTTCCTCCAATCCTGATGCCATATTCTTCCTTTAATTCAGCTTCTCTGATGATCTGCTCAGCACACAGATTGAATAAGTATGGTGAAAGGTTACAACTCTGTCACACAACTTTCTCGATTTCAAACCATGCAGGATCCCCATGTTCCACTTCCAGAACTGCCTTTGATCCATGTACAAGTTGCTCATGTGCAAAATCAAACGTTCTGGAATTCCCATTTGTGGTAGTTACATAATCTGTTGTCAATTTGAAAGGATTACGAGTGAAGGGGTGGAGTCTGGCCTGTCAATCAGGTCATAGCCAATGAGGCCTCTGTGTGGGCATGGCCTTCTCCTGAGGATTCTGGGAATTCCTGTATTCCTCTCTGGAGGCGGGAGACTCTCTCTTTCGGCTGACTCCCTGGGAGACATTGCAGCTGACAAGACACATGGAACTACGCTAATGCTGCTGGAGAAGCTACGTGGAGACCCAGGCCAGCACCGAGATGCCTACAATGCTACTGGATCCACAAGACCTCCCACCCACTGGCCCGTGATCTTCCTGCATTCGGTGTCATTGTATGTGTTTCATGAGTCTGAAGAGGACTTTATACATTGGTATCAGACATATGGGCTACTGTCGGACCTGTGGACTTGATCTGGACTGGGCTGTGATGTTTTCTCAATATTCAATTGCTCTTGTATATAAACCTTTTTCTTATATACTTATACATGCTTATGAATTTGTTTCTCTAGTCTACCCAGACTAACACACCATTCTTCTCAAAGTTATCCACAATTTGGCATAATCCAGGTAGTTAAATGCCTTGGCATGGTCAATAAAACAGAAGTAAACATCTTTCTGGTATTCTCTTCTTTGAGCCATCTGAGATCAGCAACGATATATCCCTTGTTCCACGTCCTCTTCTGAATCCAGCCGAACCTCCGACAGCCCCTTGTCAATGCACTGCTGCCACTGCTGTTGACGATCTTCAGCAAGATCTTATGTGCACGTGATATAGTGATATTGTGCTGTAACTTGAGCACTCTCTTGGGTCAGCTTTCTTTGGAATGGGTACAACTATGGATCTCTTCCGCTCAGTTGTCCAAGACGAGTAGGTGCTTCCAGTGCTTCCTCAGCTTGTTGCAGCTGGTTCAGTTGGTGTCCCATCCATTCCTAGAACCTCGTTTGGGGCTAATGCTTTCAAATGGTGACTGGATGTCAGAAAGAATAATGTCTGGGGTCTGAAAGGCTTGTTTTCAAACAAGCAGCCATCTAAATGAGACTAAGTCCACATGGAAAAAACACCCCAATATCCAAGGATTATCAATAATATGATTCAAATTTAAAGGAGGGAATAGTATCAGAGCTTAAATTGTGAGATTCTGTGTGCAGAAGACTTTGGGTGACAGTGGAAGCCCAACATACATGTGCAGGATCCACACAGGGAATAAGCCTCAGGTGATTTCCCTCTGGCATAATTGAAGAACGGAAATAACCTGGCCGTCAGACAGACCATCGTGGAGAGACGACTGTAGTAGATTAAAAGGACAAATCGGACTCCAATGGCTATAAAACCGTGTCACTGGCTCTCCCTCCTGATACACTTTGGGCTTGATCTGGTGTTTAATACTTCCTGTGTGGTGTTTTGCTTTCCTCAAATGTGGGTCTACTTCTGCTGTACTCTGTCATTGTTGATAGCCGTCTTGATTCTGTTGCGGGCTTTTCGTATATGAAACCCAGGATAGGGGATTCTGTAGCGACAACTAGAATAAGGGTTCTTGAGGGGAATGGTGGAGGAGGTGGGGGGCGTTTAAGGGGGGGCTGGTATCAAGAATTCGAGGAGGAGGAAAATGTTTGGAAGCTGAGTTTGGTGGCCATTGTAGAGCACTGCTTGAGATGACTGAACTACGGATTGGCAGGATGTCTGCGCTAGCTCCCGATTCAATGGTTTGGGGAGAAACAAAGACCTGAGGTCCATCCATTCTGGTGCTGGTTCTGTGGTGACTCAGACGTCACACCGGCAGTCTCAGGCCCCAGGTGACCCTGTGCTCATCCCCTCCATATCCTGTCAGCCCGCCTTTCCCCAGTTCCCGCGGTCTGTCCACTGTGAAGCTGGCCCTCAGAAGCACGAAGGGAGGCTTACGCTTTTGGAGTTCTAAGAGGGTGTAAAGGATGATGATGCCGTCCAGAGCTGCCCGGCCAATCTCCTCGTCAGGATCTCCCACTCGAAGAATGAGCCTTCCCAGCAGAAGCCCCAGCGTCGGGAACCCAGAGGACATCTGTTTGTGTCAGAAGCGTAGAGATGGCACCTTATAGGTTCAGTAATGCTATATAGTAAACAGGGAACCTAGCTGGATGGTCTAGCCCTGAGAGCAGATAAAGGAGGGGGAGAGCCAGCAGCCCTGGATAGAAGCACAGCCTCCCTCTGAGCTCAGAGCGTCCCCAGGAATGCCCGCCCTCCCGGGGGCCACTCACAAAGAGAGGCACCGTCAGGAGAGTGTGGTTCAAGACGGAGACATTGCTGTTCACGGCCCGCGCTCTCTCGTGGGTCTTCCCGGAGTTCATCCAGGGTCCCAGGGGCTGTGGGGACAGCAGGGAAGGACTCAGTGCTACCGGCTGGATACAGTCCCTGCTTCCAGGGCAGAAAGGCCAGCCTTTGCCAATCAACAGGAAGCGCACACAGAGAGCAAGACGTGACTGACCACGGCCCTCACCCTCTTCTCAGAGCTTAGGGGGTGAGGGCTCAGACACTGAGGACAGGACTGGCAAACAGGAGGGAGGACTGGGTCAATGGGAAGAGATGAGAGTTGGGGTCAAGGAGATAAGAGAATCCCAGAGGAGAGCAAAGTGAGAGAGCAGGATGGGGGTATCTGTAGCAGGATGGTTGGGGCAGAGAGAGAGATTTGAAGAGGCACAGGCCTGGAGTAAGGACCATAAGAGGGATGGGGAGGCAGAACGTTGGCACAAGACAGCATACTAAAGTCGAATCACTTTTTCCTGGGTCCCACCCCCACTACCCCTGCGCAAATCCCTCTCTCCCTGCCCTGCTCCCCTCCCTGCGCTGTACCTCAAGGATGCTCTTTAACCCAGCAGGCGTCGGGTCCTCAATGAAGAGGGCATTGAGCAGGGTCTGCAGGGCATTCAGGGTCTGGCCATAGAGTGTCTGTGGGCAGGAGGAAGACAAAATCACTGGGGTGGGGGAGTCTCCTGGAGCAGACCCCAGCCTCAGGGGAGCCCTGGCACAGGTCACAGGAGAAGAGGGTTTTCAGTCAGGAGAGCTGTTTTCTGGCGCTGGCTCTGAGACTGACCAACAGGTGATCTTGGGCAAAGTATTCCTTCCACTGTTACGATTTCCTTCTTGGGGAATTGGTAAGAATTCGCCCTGCTCTCTCAACTCTGAAGGGGTGGAAGCAGAGCCCAGCATGTGCCAGGTCAGACGCGGAACTGCTGAGCTAGTTTCACAACCACATCAGTTCGTCTCCATATTGTTTTCCCCCCGTTCATGAATGAGTGGACACTTGCCCAAGGTCACACAGCCAAAAAAGTGCCAGACCACCAGGAGCAGGGGAGAGGATGGATGGAATGCGGTCAAGAATGACAAGAGCTAAACAAATAGGAAGGCCAGCCTTGTCTTTTCTTTTTCTCCATGAGAGCGCGCTCTGCTTCTTTTAATACCGTGCAGACCCAAAGAGATTTTCCAGGTGAGCTCCCTTAGGAAGCCATCCCTCTCCTGAGGTTCTAGGCTCCTCATCCCATGGACTGAAAAGAGCACCATCCAAGAATGCTCTTAGGAAGCTACAGGCATTATAAGCACACAGGCTGATTGCTGGGTTTGAGCCTGTCTTCCTCTTGCCTGTCCCTCCAGGATCTCATTGTCCGGGCTGTGCACGAAACCAGGAACCAACGCGGTTCTCAGGATGACAACCACCACCAAGCAAGTCTCCTCTACCAACTACCTCCTCCTTCCGGTCATGCGCTGCCAATCACTGTGCAGCACTCCCCCCCTGCTGGTCATGTCTGGTATTGCAACAGGAGCCTCCCACTGGGAGTTTCTCAGGCGAGCTCTGCGGGAGCTTAGGGCTCTCCAACTGCTTGTGTGGCCTGTCCCCTACAGGCTGGTGGCATCACTTCTCACCACTCCCACCCTCTCCCTCTGGGCTCCAAACACACTGCCATCGTGTCCCACTGCAGTCGCCAGGTTCTCTCTGTCCACGGGATGCTCCCTCTGCCTGGAATGCTAGCTGTCTCCCCACCCCCTGCAGGCTCTACAGCCTCTCCAAACCAGCGCTGTGGATTCCCGCTCACCACCACCCTTTAGGACAGGGTGCTGAAAACTGGCCAGAGAGCTTCCAAGGCTGTAACCCTGTACATCTTTCTCCTGCAAAGCCGCTGGTGGGTTCAGACAGACAGCCACGCGCCATCCACAGTGGCATGCGTAATCGCCACCCCACCAGGGATGCTCCTCACCGCACCATACTGATTAGTCCCAGTGACCATGCCCCACGGTTACCACTCTGCTTCTGTTTCTCTGAGTCTTTGGCAATGTCGGTGTCCCACCTCCTGCCCCAGTGTGGCAGGAAGTAGGTGGGCGCCAAAAGAGCCCTGGGGGGCACCATGGACTCAGCGCTGGGCTGCCCCAGTCACGGTCAGCTATTCAAAACCGCCAGTCGAGTAGCCTCAGGAACCCTAAGAACATTGTGAGCCGGAATGGGCCCATAGCCCATTGGGCACCCAGTTAATGTTTGCCGGCAGCCTATGCCCCACCTGCGCTCTCCTTTGACCTCCTCCAGCCCTCCCCTGTCCCGAAGGGTCCTCTGATCACTTGCTTCTCTCAGGACAGCCTTGCAGCAGTTTGCGATGCTCATACCAGCCTCTTCAGACTGCCCTCTCCAAACCTCAGCCCTAACCCCCCACCCAGACCAGTCTTTCTATGTTATGGCCCCCTCCTGAGTCCTCGATCCCCAGTTCTGGCCACACCAACATCTTCCCAGCAGCAGACAGGGGCCGCCTGTTCCGAAGTCATTTCTGGTCCCAATACCCAGGCCAAGAGAGGTGAGGAGAATTGCAGGGCCAGGCAGCCAGAGAGTAGCGTCTACAGTCCCGGCGGACCCTCTGGAAGGCCCTTCTGCTCCTCCACCCCTCCCTGGGAGGACCGTGAGGGCACAGCCCTGAGGCCTGCCTCACCTGTACGGCCTCCGCCTTGGCTTCATCTTTCTGCTGCATGGCCTGCACGGAGGGCAGGGAGAACACACTTCTGACACAGGCGCTCACCAGCTCGGACCTCTCCCGCACGCCCAGGCCTGGCTGTGTGTGGCTGGAGCAGAGACAGAGGGCATGGGGGGGGGGGGGGGCATCCAGTGAGGGCATGTCCCCTCATGGTGGAGAAGCCACGGTGGGAGGCGAGGAGGGAAATGGGGAAGGGGTGGGCCTGGCTGTGACCAAGCTGAGGAGGAACTGGCGAGGTGCTGGAGGGGCCAAAGAGAGATCTCAGAAGGGGCAGGAAGAGCCTGGGGCAAGGGGGCGGGGCTCTGTGGGCACCTTAATTGGGTCAGGGTCTCCATGGCCTGCTGGCGGACAGAGCTGGACAGGGAATCCAGCGGCTCCTCTTGGATCTGCCTCTGTAGCGGGAACCCCAGCCAGAGGGGCGGAGAGGGTGGGCAAGGCTGTTCCTGACCTCACAGTCCCCCACCCTCCTCCCAGTGGTGCCAGACCCTGCCAGGTCTCCAGAAGCTGGGGAGCTGGAGGGTCTGCTCACCGACCTGGACCCACATTTCGAGGACACTCAAATGCCCTACACCCCAATCAGCTGCACCCGGCATGGAGGGCTGGACAAGAATTGGGTGGACATCTTGGTGGCAGGAGGGCAGGTCTGGCCCCAAAGTAGGGTACCCGGTTGTCCTGCTGACAACTCTTCACTTCCACTTCTCTCAGATCCACACAGAGCAGGTGCTCACGCAATGCTAGTGAAACGAAGGCATATAGGGCAAGAACACACACGCACCCCCCACCCCAGCCCCCTGCCTTTAAGGGAAGCCGAATATAATTCTGAGCACTTCGGTCTTTCTCCCTGGCCCAGCTCCTGCTAACCGACGACTGAGCAGGGACTGTGTCTAGCCAATGGGCAGTGGGAGGCGGGGATATGCAGGAATTCTCGGGAGCTTCTGGGGAAAAGGACACATGAAATAAGGACTCCTCACATTGGGCACACGAGCTTTGTCATTCGTTAACCATTGGGCTTGCCTGCCCACAACCAGTGGGGTGGAGTTAGCACCCCACCTGGAAGATGAGGGCGGGGCTCAGAAAAAGGAAGTGATTCGTCCAGGCTCTCCCAGGAAGCTGGGCCTGGGGCTTGGGTCCAGATGTCCCTCCTGCCTCTCTATCCCGTGTTCTGCCGATCTCAGCACGGGTGTCCTCAGCGGGCTGCCTCCAGCCTCCCCGTTCCCCCCACCCCCAATTGGTGCCATCGACCCGGATGGGACTTCCACACCATCATCTTCATCATCATCATCTTCTTCTCTCCTACTTCCAGCAGCGTCTGATTCTTCTGGAGGACAAGGACATTCTCCACCTCGAGGGGAGCAGAGGACAGTCATCAATGAGGGCCACTCCGAGCCCACCGCTCGGGGTCAATGATACACCACCCGCCAGGGACCACCCAACACAGTCAACTGGTCTCTCCCCAGCCGCCAGTCAACGACCCTGGCTCAGGAGGAAAAACCACCACAACGGAAAGTTGGGGTGCCTGGGGGTGGGAGGGGGAATAATCCCTCCAGGTCAGCATTTGGAGCGTGAAGTGTCGGAGGCTGCCAAATGCAGCCACCTCTAATCAACTAGGGGAGAAGGGGCAGGTGCCGGTGAGACAAGCAGGCCCCAGCGTCCCAGCCCGAGACCCCACCATTAACATCACATCTGAAGGACCTTGTAGTGCATGCTGGTCAGGTTAAGGCGTTCTGTGACCCGAGGGATTAGCTGATACCCTATCAGCCTATGAGTTCCCGCTGTCTTATGGCAGAAGTAAAAAAATACCTTCCTATGAGGGAGGGCGGAGTGGGGAGGGAGGGGGAAAATGAGCAGCCGATATTAAGGACTCAAGTAGAAGGCAAATGTTTTGAGAATGATGATGGCAACAAATATGTGCTTGACACAATGGATGTATGTGTGGATTGTGATAAGAATTGTATGAGCCCCCAATAAAATGATTTAAAAAAACCTTCCTGCAGTAAAGGTAACAAAAGAAGCTCATCGATGGAGAAGGTGGAGAGTTAAAGAAAACCACACGTTTCCCCCCCACTCCTCCTGTGAAGAAATGGAGACCAGTTCTTCTCTTTTTAAACCTGGAATCAGTTTACGGCCAACTTTAATCAATCGGATGCGATGGAAGTGATGCCGTGTCCGTGCCCAGCCTAGTCCTTAAGGGACTGGCAACTGGTAGCTGCCTCCGCTTCCCCCTGGAACGCCACTGCCATGCTGCAAGGAAGCTCAGGCTGGTCTGGGGAATCACAAGAGACACCTGAGAGATGAAGAGCCACCTTGGACGCTCTGGCCCCAGCAGAGGGCTCCATCTACACCACAGAAGAACCACCAACCGAGCCTGGCCAGCCTCAGAACCACGAGAAGTCAGACTTCCCGAATCCATGCTTCCAAGCAGGCAGCGTGGACTTTGAAGGCTCTAAGTTTTGAGGTTGTTTGTTGGGTAATAACCGAGAACTTGAGCAGCAGAGCGGTAGGAGAGGGAGACCAAGGGGTGGCGTGTGAGCAGAGCGACACGGAGCAGCCAGCCAACGTGAAGGAGGCAGATGAGCTCCCTGTTGTGTCCGCCATGCTGCGCAGAGCGTGCACGGCACATAGTGGGGTGGCAGTGAAACCTGGTTGAATGACCGGATCAGCTCTCCCCGGGCAGGCGGCACGCTCAGAGCTGTGTGCGCTCTAAAGAGGCCTCACTTCACGGTAGAGGAGAAACAGCAGGGACACAGGTGCTGAGACAGGAAGGAGATTGGCAGTGTGAGAAACAGAAAGAAGGCTGCTGAGGAGGAGTGAGAGGGCCACAGGAGCATGTCAGAGGATGAGGACAGGTGCTCCCCGAATGTGGGGTCTCCTCCTGTCACTCTCCCCACCTCTCACCTCGCACTGCCCAGAGACTGGAGCTCACAGCCTGGGGCCACCGCTTGCCTCCCTCTTATTCCCTTGGTGCTGGCTCCCTTGTGTCCTGCGTGGAGACCCTGTTTCCAAATTCTGTCCACCTTTCAGTTTTGCCCGGGCTCTGGCACAGTCACGGCCACTGGTCTGTGCAGTCTGCCTCCACGGGCCCTCCCACATTGCACTGCCCCACCAGACTGGCCTTCTCTGACCTCTTGCAGCCTGCCAAGCCGAGGTTGGGACTGACTGTGCCCTGGGAAAGACCAGGCCTGTGGGGGGAGGTAGATGCTAGCAGGCATCTCCCCTGAGGGCAATCAGTTGCCAAACTGAAGGGGGCCCTGCTCCCTGTTGCTGGGGACAATGGACAGGCTCCTGTAGGAGGAGTTTACACCCTACTGATAATGGTTCCTTTGGAGATCCAGGGAACAGGTCAAAGTTAAGCTGCCATCCTGAATCTAGGATCCACCCATCTTGTCACGTGTATACCCCAATCCCTCCTCTTCATTGCGTGGTGTACTTCCCTAGACCACCCCCTCTCATTACTGTGTAACCTATAGTGCAACCCCCCCTTGTGACGCATGTCTCTACCTGTAATTAGTGGGCTGGCACGCCCCCAAAAGGTATATAGGCCTGGGTCAGCACTAGATCTCTCTCTGGCTCTCTTCCTCCTCCTCTCTCATTGGTTGCTCCCCCCCTCTTCCCCCCTCCTCTCCCTGGTTCCCTGGCCCTCCTTCCCTTCCCCCTCTCTCCACGTGGACCACCAAGCTGGGCTGAGGTGAGCAATGCTACCACGTGATGTGTCTGACTGCATTGTAATGTCTCTTCTACCTCCCATGCTCACATGACTTTTATATCTATATCAACCGTACAATTGTGCATTATTGAACCTGAGACTAGTAGATGGGGGCTGGCCCCCACCCCCACCTTATAACGTCACACCACACCGGCCCAGCTTCTCTGTCCCTTTCCAGCCCCTCCACCATTCAGACAGGCAGGCAAAGAACCTTCCGGAACACCTGTTGTGCAGGCTCCTGTTCCGGATGTGAAGACAGAGCTGTGAACGAGACGCATTAAGATCCTGGCCATTCTTGAGGGGAGGGAGGCTGGCGAGAAAGAAGACTGGCCAAGCAGAGCCTACTCTGTCCGATGGTGGGGAGGGCACTGGAGGACAGAACGGCAGGGCAGAAGAACAGGGAATGACCCGTGGGGTGGGGGCCTGCAGGAGCGGGGCATTCCCGGCCGAGGCAGCGGGGGTCTGAGCGGGAGGCCTACCAGAGCCCTGCTGTTGCCGCCGTTGCTCTTCACAGGTATCTTCATCAGGCACGAGGGCACCTCATCGAAGACTCCTGCAAGCCCCGGTTTCCCCGAGAAGAGAAGAGGGTGGGGAAAGATATGGGGTACAGAGTCCCCACTCCACCCGCTACGTGCAGGGGCCCCGCGATCCCCACCGTCCCCGCAGCCAGAGAGGGTTTCAAAAGTGTAAAGGAGCTCACGCCGCCTCGCCTGAGCTCACGGACAATAAGGCCAGCGGAGCCAATGCTGCTGGCCCGCCGCTCCGGCCCCTCTCCCAGGGCTCGCCCCTCCGCGCTGTCCCCATCCAGCCCCCTCCCTCGGGGCCTCTGCCTGTGTGCTGTGAGGGCTCCCCTTCGACAGCCCCTGCTTGCCTCCACTCCTCAGTGAGGCCCCTCTTGTGTATCACCCCACTTCCTTCTTCCCACGGCTGTCCCACTTCTAATGAAACATTTCCTGGTGGCACGTAGGTAGCTGGTGTTTTGCCAGCCCCCGGTTGTAAGCACCCCTCCCTTTCCCGTAGGTTGCTGATTCCACGTTGCTACCAAACCAAACTCACTGCCCTGGTCCCAGTCCCACGCACAGCGACCCTACAGGACAGGAGAAATCACATCTTTCTCCCCAGGAGCAGCTGGTGGATTCGAATTTCGGACTTAGAGGCTAGCAGAGTCCAGCACGTAACCGATCACACCACCAGGGCTCCTAGGGGAAGCTGAATTCTGTGATAGCCCCCACCCATTGGCCCCTTTTCAAACAGAGGTGGCCTGGAAGCCAGGCCGAGTGTCGTATGCCCCCAGACCCGAGGACTGCTCCAGGGGCTTCGGGCTGAGTAGGGCCACCAGAACCCCACGTGGGGGCTGAGGACAATCCTAGGGAGAAGGGCCCCTCCTCTCCTGCGTCAGAGTCCTGGAGTTCCAGGCATCCTGGGCCAGAGGACGCTGTGGAGAAAGGAGGCAATGGAGCGAAGGGCAGCGATGAGCGGGAACACACAGAGATTCTGATAGTGTTTGAATGTTCAGATCAGCCCTGTGTAGAGCTAGCTCCAGGACCTGGTGGAGTTTGTCTGCTTTTATTCACCTATCATACACTTTAATCATTCCAGAAGACTTGTGCAATCCTCACCACAATCCATTTCAGAACACATTGTTCTCGTACCCCTTGTTGTTAGCTCGCCGTCTCCCCCAACCTCCCCCGCCATGCCTCCAGGTCATTACAAACCCAGTTACCGTCTCTATAGATCGGTCTATCCTGGATTTCAGATTCAGAAAATTCTACAAACACAGACAACAAACAAACAACAATGTCTAGGCAAAGCAGAGAAAAACTTCCATCAAAAGGAAAGCCAAAAATATTAAAAAGCAAAACAACTTTAAAATGGGTCAAAGGGAAATCGAATGATGAAGTGTTGCACTGTAACCTAACCCAAATAATCTTCACAATGCTGTCTGATAACAAGGCTATTCATAACCCTGGACTAAGGTCAGAGGGGATTCACCAGTGCCTTAATCCTTTTGGGGATGTTGAAGATGGATTTTGGGCATCCACTGTCATCCATAGCCTTCTGAAAACTAGGCGTTCATAATTTAAGCTCCGATACCATTTCCTCCTTCAGATTTGGATTTGATGACTTACAATCCTTGGATCACACAGGCTGGTGTGCCTCTTCCCTGGGGACTTGGTTGATGCCTCACATAGACGGCTGCTTGTTTGAAGAAACTCCTTTCAGGCCAAGACGCTGTTCTTTTAACAGCTGGGCACCCTCTGGTGCCTTCACCACACTTTGCTATAGCACCCAAGTTTTCAGTTATCTCTTCATGAGAGAGAGTTTCAAATCTGGCCATGTCATAAGAACTAATTGTTGTTCGTAGATTGGGGCTAGAATGAAGTGCACATTCAAAACCCATTCATAGATCTATGTTTATATGTCTCTAGTTCACTTTGGAAACAGTCATTTTATGATGTGTTTAGATCACTGGTTCTCAACCTTCCTCATGCTGCGACCCTTTCATACAGTTCATGTTGTGGTGACCCCCCAACCATAAAATTACTTTCATTGCTACTTTATCACTACTGTGCTACTGTTATGAATCGGGAGACCCCTGTGAAAGGGTCATTCGACCCCCAAAGGGATCGCGTGACCCACAGGCTGAGAACCTCTGGTTTAGATGCCGTCGAATCAGCTCTGACCCACAGCGACCCTGTGCCCAACAGAAGGAACCGCTGCTCTGTCCTGCACCGTCCTCACCGCTGTTCTTACGCCTGAATTCCACGGTCGCAGCCACGGTGTCCGTCCACCTCATTAAAGACCTTGCTCTGTTTCTCTGCCCCCGCACTGTACCAAGCACGACGTTCTTCTCAGAGACTGAAGTCTCCCCATCCTTGACCCTGAAGAACATTCTGGCTGTACTTCTTCCAGGATTTGTTTGTTCCTTTGGCAGTGCATGGCACTTTCAGGATTCTTCTCCAGCACCACAATCCAAATGCATCGATTGGTCCTTATTCGGTGTCCAACTTTCGCATGCGCACGAGGCCATGGCGAATACCAGTCAAGCACACCTTAGTCCTCACTGTAACCACCCTGCTTTTCCACACTCTGAGGAGGTCTTGTGCAGCACATTGACCCAGTGCAATTTGAGCTCTTGACAACTGTGGCAGTTACATAATCTACTGTCAACTTGAGCAAGGGGGTGGAGTCTAGTCTGTCAATCAGGTCATAGCCAATGAGGCCTCTGGGTGGGCCTGGCCTTCTCCTGAGGATTCTGGGAACTCCAGTCTTCCTCCCTGGAGGCAGGACACACACACTCTCTGCTTCATCTGCCTGCTGACATGACACATGGAGTCATGCTGATGGAGCCAGAGCCCTGGAGCCAGAGGAGCCACGTGGAGACCCACACCAGCGCTGAGATGCTTCCACAGCCACTGAATCCACAAGATTTTCCACCCACTGGCCTGTGATGTTCCTGCATTCGACGTCATTGCATGTGCTGCGTGAGTCTGAAGAGGAATTTATAGCCTGGTATTGGACATATGGGCTAATATCGGACTTAAGGACTTCATCTGGACTGGACTGGGATGTTTTCTTAATGTACAATTACTCTTGGATATAAAGCTTTCTTGTACACACATGAGTGTCTCTGGCTTTGTTTCTCTAGCCGGCCCAGCCTAGCACAACTCCAGCGCCCATGAGCGTTGACTGTGGCTACACGCAAGATTCAATCCTGAACCTCAACCTCACTTTTCTCTCCATTTATCATGATGCTACATCTTGGTCTAGTTGTGAGAATTTAAGTTTTATTTAAATTGAGTCTTAATCCATACTGATGGCTGCCATCCTTGATCTCCATCAGCAGGTGCTTCAAGTCCTCCTCGCTTTCAGCCAGCAAGGTTGTGTCCTCTGCATAGCCCAGGTTGTTAATAAGCCTTCCCCCAATCCTGATGCTACATTCGTTTTCTTTTTCCTTTTCGGTTTTTTAAAATATGGAACACTCCACGAACTCGCGTGTCACCCTTGCCCAGGGGCCATGCTCATCCTCTCTGTGTCGTTCCGTGTTAGTATATGTGCTGCCAAAGCAAGCACCGCACATTCTTCTTCACATAAGCCGGCTTCTCTGCTTCTCTGCTCAGCCTACAGGTTCAACTAGTACGGTGAGAGGATTCAACCTTGACCTTGCTTGACCTTGCTTGATTTTAAACTATGCAGTATCCCTTTGTTCTGAACACACAACTACCTCTTGAGCCAGGTACAGGTTCCACACGAGCACAATGAAGTGTTCTGGAATTCACATTCTTCTCAAGGCTCTCCATATGGTCCCTTGTGCCACGCCCTCTTCTGGATCCGGCCTGAACATCGGGCACAGCGGTTCTCAACCTTCCTAATGCCGAGGCCCTTTCAGACAGTTCCTCATGCTGTGGTGACCCCCAACCATAAAATTGTTGTCGTTGCTACTTCATCACTGTCATTTTGCTACTGTGATGAATCGGGCGACCCCTGTGCAAGGGTTGTTCAACCCCCAAAGGAGTCGTGACCCACAGATTGAGAACTGCTGATCTAGCAGGAAGCCTTTTCTCCTGTGGATCAGAGTGTAGATTCAAGCTGCCCACCCAATCATAAGCAACCTAACTCATAACCCACTACAACACCAAGGCTCTTGGGTAGCAAGCCAAGTGCATGGGGGAAACCCCGATACTATTAGTTGTTGTTAAAGTCAGTTCTGGGTCAGCGATCCTAGGACAGAAAGCACCTCTGTGCCGTTCTGCACCACCCTCACAGTCCTCGCTCTGTTCCAGCTGTCCTTGCAGCCACTGTGCCAATCCCCACCCACCCACCCAGGGTTCCCCACTGGCCCTCAGTTTTGCCAAGCGGATGTCTTTTTCCAGGGACCGGTCTCTCCTGATAACGTGTCCTAAATACACGCAACAAAGCCTCACCATCCTCACATCCAAAAAGCATCCGAGCTGCTCTTCCTCCAAGACCGATCTGTTTGTCTCTCCTCACACTTCGTGGTGCTTCCAATGCTCCTCATCCGCATCATCATTCAAATGTATGCAACGCCATGGTCAATACCAGCTTACACCAAGAGCACCTTGATTCTCCCAGCGACAGCTTTGCTCTCGAACACTAACCAGGTCTTGTGCAACAGGTGTGGATGCCCAATATAGTTCGTCCTTTGATTTCTTGACTGCTGCTTCCACGAGCATTCAGTGTGAACCCCCGAAAAACGAAATCCTTGGGAACATCAATCTGTTTGTCATGATGCTGTTTATACCTCTGGTCTAGTTATGAGGGGTTGGGTTTGTTTATATTGAGTTGTAAGTCGTTCCGAAGGCTGGTGTCTTGAAACTCCACCCGTGAGCATCTCCAGGTGTGTCCTCTGCAGATGGAAGCTTGATCACGAGCCTCCCTCCAATCCCGAGGCAGAATTCTCTTCATGTGGTCCAGCTTCGCCAACTGTCTGCTCAGCACACAGATGGAACACATATGGTGACACGTTCTACTTTTAAATCATGCAGTGTCCCCTTGTGTTGTTCAAGCCACTACCTCTTGGTCTGTGTAGTTTCCATATGAGCACAACTCTGCTTATCCAGAATTCTCATTCTTCCCGATGTTACCCATAGTTTGTTGTGATCAAATGCCTGTGCATAGTCAATAAAGCACAGTAACGGTCTCTCAGGAAAGCTACTGCTTTTGACCAAGACCCAGCTGACATCATTAATGATAGTCTTCATTCCATGTGCTTTCATGAGTCTGGCCTGAATTTCTGGAAGCTCCTTGTTAATGTAATGCTCCAAGCGTTTTTTAATTATCTTCAGCAAAAAAAAGTTTTTGCATGTGATAGTAATTATATTGTTTTGATAATTTCCACATTCTGTTTACCACGGGGGACCCTGCATGTCAAATGATACATCAACTTTGGAAAGTAGCTTTAAACATTGAATTTACACAGATCACCCGGCATAGACATAACTAGCCAATACTAGTTATTTATGCAAGAGAAATGAAAGCATATATCTTACTGCACATGAATTTCATAGCAGCTTTGTTCTGAGAGTCAAAACCTGGAACAATCTACATAAACATCAACAAACGAATCAATCAACAAATTGCAGTGCACCCATATAATGAGCTGCCACTCAGCAATCAAAAAGAATTATTGAAACCCGTTGTAGCACAAATAAACTTCAAAGTATTTTTGCTGAGAGAAGCCAGACAGGAAGTATGCATATCATCTGATTCCATTTGTATGAATTTCTAGAAAATGCAACTTATTTGTAGCAACAGATAGCAGATAATGGTTGCCTGGAGACAATGGTCCATAACCCTGAGCGCCATCGAATCAATGCTGACTCAGAGTGTCCCCATAGGACAGAGCAGAACTGCCCCCGGGGTTTCCAAGGCTGTCACTCTGTACAGGAGCAGAAAGCCTCTTCTTTAGCTCACAGAGGGCTAGTGGTTTCAAACTGCTGGCCTTGCAGTGAACCACTATGCCACCAGGCTTCCTTGGAGACTGTGGTAGGAGACAGAATGACAAGGAGACACGAGGAAACTTTTGACAGTGATGGATAGATTTGTTATCTCATTTATGGTGAATGGTCTGGGTGTTTACAAATGTAAAGATGTATCACATTATAAACTTGAAATATGTACAGTTTATTTTATGTCAATTATATTCATTGAAGCTATTTTTAATGGCAATCAAAAAATTCCATTCATGCCTGCTCTCTAAATCCTCAAGCTAAGAGGGTTTTTTATTGATGAGGATGGAGTGTCTGAGAATGAAGCTGGATCCCTACCTCACGCCACATACGAAAATTATCTCCAGATGGCTCAAATCCCGAGATGTAAGGGCTGAAGTTGTCAGTCTCTTAGAAGACCGCATAGACATGAATCAAGATCTTGGCTTAAACAATCATTTCTTAGCTATGTCACTAAAGCAGAATCAGCGGAAGAAAAAAAATTGGACATCATGAAAACTGAAAACATTTATGCTTTAAAAGGCATCATCGAGAATGTGAAAAGATGGCCCGCAGGATAGAAGATATTTGAAATTAACTACCTGATAAGGGGCTTGTATCTAAATGCTATCAAGGACTCTCATAACTAAATAATAAAAGATGGTAACCCAATTTTTAACATGGGCTAAGGATTTAAAGTATCATTTCTCTATAAATATGTAAATAGCCAATCAGCACATGAAAAGATGCTCAGCGTCATTAGCCATCAGGGAAATGCATATCAAAAGCACAATGCGCTGACACGTCACACCCAGCAGGAACAATGCACACCCACATATAATACACACGTATGTATATGCACATACATATATGTCTATAAAGCATGGACAATAGGTTAGTGAGGATGTGGAGAAACTGGAGGCCCCATACTTGCTAGTGGGAAGGTGAGCTAGTTCAGGTGCTCTAGAAAACGGTCTGACAGTTCCTCAAATGACTAAACTTAGAATTAGCCTATGGCCCACCAGTTTCACTCCTAGGTATACACATAACAGAAACAAGAAGTTACCTCCATAGAGAAACGTGTACACCAAAGTGTATAGCTGCATTGTCTAAAGTAGGCAAAACTGAAAGCAACCCAAGTGTTCGTGAACTGATGAATGCAGTATATCCATAAAACAGAGGAGTCTTCAATCATAAAAAGGAATAAAGTAATTTTAGATGCTACACAATGCATGAACCCCCAAAACCTCATAAATGAAAAGAGCCAATTATAAAAAACCAAAGATCGTATGGTTCCATTTATACAAATACCCCAAGCAGGCAAATCCATAGGGCAGAAAGCCAATGAGTAGGGGGCTGATGGCTTAGATCACCAAGTTTTCCTTCAGGGGTGATAAAAAAAGGTTCTAAAACCGTGGCGATGGTCGCACAACTCTGACTCTCTACAAAGGGGCTGGCCTGTCCACACGGATGTATTCATGTGCATGTCATGTACAGACACACATGCACACATAAAGCAGTCGAACATTGAGTATGTTCCCTGTGCAGTAGGGGGAAATGTATATATTGAAGTGTTCTGTACACGTCTAAGAGATCAAGTTGAGTAATTGAGTTTTGTTCTTCTGTATCGTTGTTGATTTCCTTTCTAATTGACTGATCTTTGCTCAGAAGTGTTCTGTTACAGTCTCCTAGTATTTATTATTGTATTGTATTCTGTGAGAATTTGGTTACTGTATTTTGAGGTTTTTCACTGGGAGCGTAGATGTTAACTATAGTTATGGCTTCTGGTTCATCCTCTACAATGGCCTTCGTTGCCTCTCATTACAGTGGTCCCTTCGATGTCTGTGTTGTCAGAAGTTAATAGTGTTACTCCTGCTTTCTTTTTACTTTAGCTTTATTTTTTCATTCCCATCCTTTGATTTTCAGTCTGTGCTTGTCTGTGCGTCTAAGATGTATTTGTTGTAAGCAGCATGTAGAGGCTCATGCTTTCTCACCCGCTCTGTCGCTGTTTGTCTCTTAACCGGCGATTTCAGTCCATTCACAGGCAGTGTCGTTGCTGATAGGCCGTCGACATTTTAGTCAATGCTTTTTATGGTGTCCTTGATTTCATGGTTCATGATAACTTTTTGTGCTGCACTCCTTTTGTTTTTTTCCGTTGGGATTTAGTACATATCATTTCTAGTTCAGTCTCATCCAGGAGAATTGTACAATTGCTACCTTTCCAACCATTCTTCTTCTACATGGACTCCTTGACTGTATTAGTCTGGGTACTTTGGAGAAACAAGTCCACAGCAACTCATGGATAAGAGAGAGTTTTATGTAAAGAAAGTGTGCATCATGAAAACATCCCAACCCAATGCTGCCCAAGCCCACAAGTCCAACATTAACCCATTAACCCGACACCAGTCCACAAAGTCCTCCACCTCACAAAACAGAGGCAATGATGCCGACTGCAGGAGGAAAGCTGAGTCAGTGAACGAATAAGCATCTCAGCACTAGCAGGGGTCTCCACACGGCTGCTCCAGCACCCAGGGCTGCATCGGGATAGGTCCATGTGGCTTCTCCTTGGGGATGTCTCGTAGGAAGTCAATCTTGCAAGCTGAAGCAGGGAACTGCTAAGGCAGCTGCACCCGGTGGAACCATCACAAAACAAGAGACCCGAGAACTAGAAAGGCGAGGCTTCACCACCCATTTATCCCTCTGCCTTTCAATTAGCCCCACATGTGATTATCGGCCAGGTTGGCACAATTAACTAACTCATTAACATACATCTTCTCTCTTTTAGCCCACCACCACCACCACCACGGTGCCCCCCTTCCCAAGCCCTTTATGCTTTTTTTTCCTTTTGATACCCAAACCAGGGATTGAACATAGATTTTTTTAAATCAGTGTTTTCTTTGTTTATTTTGGTTTGTATCTTACTGTTTAATGGGATCTCTTTTGTTTTCTTTTTGTTTTGTGTAGTTTTTCCTTTTTGACTTTTGTGGTTTCCTTTCCAAGACATGCTGTCTTTTGCAAATGACTTGCTACCTTCTCCATTCGAGTATTTATTACCTACTCTATTCCCTCTCTTTGTTGCTCTTGTCCTTGTTTCAGAAATGTTATCTGTGATTCCTTTTGTTTTAATCCATTTGGTTCTGTTTCATTTCCTGTATTACTTAAGTATCGTGATTTCTCAGTAATAATGTCTTATATGACAATGTGAGGTTGCTGCCTATTGTTAGTGTTGATCCTCTGTTCAAAGAACACCTTGTACTATTTTTTTGTAAGGCTGGTCTTGTTTTTACAAATTTTGGTTTTTTTCTTCTCTGAAAATTATTTTATTTCTCCCTCATTTTTGAGGGATCCTTTTGGTGGATAGAGGATTATTCTAGATAAGTCATTTTTTTCCCTTCAGAATTTGAATATACGAATCCATTGCCTCGTGTCTGCATGGCTTCGAAAGACCAACCTGAAGCTTACCCTGATCGGTTGACCTTTGTAGGTGAGCATTATTTTTACCCATGGTGCTTTCAGGGGCGTTTCCTTTTCTTTGATGGTAGAACATTTCACCAAACTATTGAATTGTGTGCTGTGTGAATTATATGCCAATTAAAAACTAAATAATGAAAAGTTTCACTATGCTGCCATGGTGATTTTGCTTTGGGATCAATCTGTCTCGAGTTCTCTGGGCTTCTTGAGTAGCTCTTATATTCTGTTCTGTCATAATATTAGGAAAATTCTCCTTTAATACTTCACCCATTTTATTTGTAGTTGATATTCCTTATTTCTGTTCTCGGATGTTTAGCAAATGTAAGTTGCTCTTTTTGATAGTGTCCCATGTAATTCTTAGGTTTACTTCAGCTTTTTTTGTCTTTTCTTATAGCTTGGTCTTGTATTTTGGTCTTGAGAGATTTGTCTTTGATAACACTAATTTTTTAAAATCATTTTATTGGCATATAATTCACATATCATACAATTTAGCTGTTTGATCATTTTAAGAATTGTGTAATCATTACCACAATCAATTTCAGAACATTTTCTTCTTTCTTGCACTCGTTAGCGCCCCATGCCCCCCATCCCACCTCGAAGCTCCCCGGGCATGCTCCTAGGTAACCTATCCAGTTACTGTCTCCATAGATGTACCTATCCTGGATTTCATCCACAGAAAATCACACAACACACAAACAGGAAGCAGAGAGAGAGAGAGAAACCTCAATCATAAAGCAAGCAGGAAATATTTTTTAAAAACTTTAAAATAGGCTAAAAGGGAGATCAAATAATGAGGTATTGCATTCTAACTTAACTATATCTGTCATGATCAATTTCACAGTGTTCTCTGTCTGATAGCAAGGCTACACATGCCTGGACTAGGTCAGATGGGATTCACTGGAGGATTAATCTATATGGGGGTTCTGCACATGGATTTTGGGCTTCCACTGTCCCCCATAGCCTTCTGCAAGCCAGGTGTTCATAATTTAAGCTCTGATGTTACTCCTACCTTCAGATTTGGATTTTATTATTTACAATCCTTGAGTCACACCGGCTTGGGCTTAGTTGATGCCTCACCTCGATGGCTGCTTGTTTTAAGACAAGCCTCCAAGACCTCAGACCTCTTCTGCCCGCTAGCTGGGCACCATTTCTGGGCACTAGCTTCACCACACTCGGTGATGGCACTCCTTTCTTCAATGGAGATCACTGATTCTTCCCTCCATTGTTTCAGTCCTTCTGGTTTGTTCCTTCAACGTGTTACCCAGTTCTAATGCTTGCCTTTTGGGTTTCTACTGGGATTGTTGAAATTGTTTTGTCTAGTTTTTCATGTGCTTTGCTGGAGCGATCTTATAGAGCTTTCCTGACATACTCTTCCTTCGCGTCTGTATTTTTTTTTCTGTATTTCTATCAATGTTCTTCCTCCAAACGCTTGAAGTAGCCGAAGGTCATCGCCCTAAACTCCCTCATGGAGGATCTAAAGCCTTCTCCTCCCCCAAGACCTCCTCCAGAGTCACCTTTGTGCTTATTCTCGTGAATCAAATGGTTTTCTCCTGTCTCCAGATGTGCACAGAGATTGACTACTGCTTTCCAGACATGGCATTCCGTGTCTGTCTGTTTGTTCCTATTTGTCTCTGGCCACAAAGCAGTCCTCACACACTTACTGCCGATCCTGGAGAGCCAGGGTTCCGAGCGGTTCAGTACTAGCCTACCCAGCAGAAGTCAAACGTGAGAAGCAATTCCTTATTGCTCTTATTGAAATCCTGGCGTGGAGGCTAGATCCCAAGTCCCTAGGACGTGCAAGGCAACCAGCCAGCACAAAAGGGAGAAAAGAAACTTGCCAAATCACTGCCACATGCCCCTCAAGCAGCACTCACCGACTCTGTGGGTCACAGCAGGGCCCAGATTCTACCCTGTCTCCCTGGAAATAAGACAGTGTCTTATATTAATTTTACTCCCAAAGATGCACTAGGTCTTATTTTCAGGGGATGTCTTATTTTTCCATGAAGAAGAATATGGTACACATTTATTGTTTGTTGTTTTATTAAAACAAACCTCCCACTTCCCCTCTGCTCCGGCTGCGCTGCCAACAGAGTCCAGAGTTACGGTAGCTTCGGGGGGCCTTATTTTTGGGGGGATGTCTTATATCTCAGCGAGAGGCAAAACTGTAAGTAGGTCTTATTTTCGGGGGATATCTTACTCTCAGGGAAACAAGGTATTTGGGTGTGGACAGAGACGCAGGTGATACCACTCCATTGTCTAACTTCGAGGAACTGTGCTAACTTATTCTAAAACACCTGTGGGCTAGTAGCTAAGTCCATTTTGAGAAAAAATTTTACAGAGACATTCTCACCCCATCTCATATGAATATACATTACAAAGCTAGGGTGCTTTAAAAACACCACAATATGGTCTGGGTGCAGGGATGAATAAAAATAGATTGAGAGAGGATATTTACAACAACAAAATGAAGGGGCTGGATTTACATAATTCCTGCATGTCTGGAGCAAGGTGCAGGCTCCAGACAGGTCCCCATGCATTCACTCAGGTAGGGACCCCAAAAACTCAATAGAGGTCAACAGAACTTTGAGCCTGTCTGCTGCACTGTCAAACTTTGACCTGGGGAGCCCAGGTCTACAACTGCTGAGGGGAGAAATCTTGAAGGAAAAGTGCCGTTCGTGGACGAACATTTTGGACGGAAAGAAAAAGGAGTATATGGTGATTTTATTGAAATGAAAGCTCAATGAGATAAAATTGCTTGTCCCGAGTTAGAGGCCAATCGCTACATCCTTCACGGATAACCCACTAATTAATATACTGCCTGTTTTGGATGTTGTGTCTGTATGGCCCTCCCTGCCGGCCCTGCAAATCTGAACACCCACTCCTTGCAAGTCGAGCCCTCTTCAGGGCACCTCCCTGGGCTGTACTCACCCTCGGAGATGCTGGGGACGGTGGCGGCGGTACTGCCCTTGGTGCCAGTGGCGGAGAGCCCCAGCGCAAACTTACCTACCTCAACGACGCTGGCCACCTCGCTCCAGCCGTCTGGACTGCAGTGCAGAGGGATGGTGCAGGTGCTCCCCTCCTCGGAGTAGTCCTGCTGGCTGCTCAGGGTCAACGTGGACGTGTCACTGAAGATGAGGCTGGAGCCCACGCTCAGGGTCTCACTGGAGCCCAGGACCAGGGTCATGCACGAGGGTGGAGAAAGGGCAGAGTTGGGCCCGTGGGTGCTGGAGTGCAGACTGGTGACATCCGTGGAGCTGGGACTCAGGGTCATGCGGGAAGTCTTCGTGTGGGTCACGTTCCTCTGAGAGTTCAGCTCCTCGTTTGGAACCAGATGGATGGTGTCCCTGGAGTTGGTGCTCCAGGTCACCCCTAAGGCTCCTTTAGAAACAGACTCCGAGATGCTGTGGGAAGTCAAGGTGATGGTCTCACTTGTGTCTGGGAGAGGGCTCTCGGGAGCAGCATCCCGGTCCAGCACACAGACATCTCCTGAGTCAGGATCCAGGGAAGCGCTTAAGGCTGGAATAAGAAGTGCTTTTGAGCCTGGCCTGGAGTTGCTGTGACCCATGACTAATGACTCCTTTGAACAAAACCTTATAAATGGCTTTGATTCGGGCCTGGAAGGATTGGAGTTACTCTGACCCAGTTCAAATAGCTTACTAGAGGGAGGGGAGGTCTTCTCTAAAGTTGGCTCTAATTGGTTGCCCAAGTTCAGGTCAGGGACATCAGCAGAGTCAGAGCTGGGAGCGAGATTTGAGGCTGGAGAGAGCGTCCCGCAGGAGTCAGGCCTTGAGATGGGATTAGAATGCAGGCCCAGGGCCTCCCCAGAGTGGGGGCTGGAGGCCTGGACAGAGGCCGGAACCAGGGTTGTGGTGTCCCCGGGTGTTGTGGGTGAGTTATCAGACACCAGGCCAGGGGCTGCACTTGAGATCGGACTCGGAGCGGGGTGAAGGCTGGAAGCAGGAGTCGGGCCCGAACCCAAGGGTGGGCTCGAGACAGGAAGGGGGGCCGCGTCCGGGTTGGGCACGGAAACAGTGCCAGAGCTGAAACCCAGGGAGCCACTGGTGTTGGGGTCTGCTGTCATCTTTGAGTTTTCACGGAGAGTCACATCCATGCCGAGTCTGGAGGTCTCCTACTGCCTCTTGCCCCTTCCTCCCAACAGCCAGAGGTGGACCTTCTTGCAGTGCTCCTGGGAGAAAGGGCAAACCCGGTCACCCGGTGAGTTTCTGCCACTCCCCTGAGGATGCAGACCCTTAGGATGGGGTTTCTCTGATGGCCTCTACATAGCTCTCCCTCTGGTTTTCTGGGCTCTCAAGCCAATCCTGTTCAGTTCTCTGAGCATGTCCTCCTCCCTACCCTCGACCCCTCCCTACTCCACACTCAGCAAGACCTCAAGGAAGACTGGCTCCTGGCCTCGCTGACAGCACTCCTGGTCTCCAAGCACTAGCTACTTCCCAGATGTCCCCACACCCTACTCCCTGCCTGTGACCACTCCCGGCTTTCTCGCAGATCAACCCCCCCCTCCCCCAAATAAAGTCAAACCCACAACCATGGAGTGACTTCCAACTCATAATCCCGGGATTCCGAGGCTCTCTGTCTTTATGGGAGCAGAAAGCCTTCTCTTTCTCCTGAGGAGCAACTGGTGGGTTTGAACCGCTGACCTTGCCATTTGCAAATCAGCATCCTTACAAGTTCCCTTGGCCTGAACCTCCTCCCAAGGAGCCCGGGTGGCACAGTGGACGCAGGGTTGGGCTGCTGATTGAAAGTTTAGTGATGAGACGGCCCCAGCCCTTCTGTGGGTAGGTCACAGTATGTCAGAATCCTTACCCCACCCTCCTTTGAAAATCCAGCGACTCCTTTAGTAATCGAGACCCTGCAAGAGATGAGCTCCCGTGATGCCGAGAACCATATGTGTTCTGGTCCCTCGGCATCCCTGGTACAGTGCCAGGCAGACAGGAGAACGGCCACAAATACTAGAGCAAGTGAGGCACCTCTTCCACTTTAGGATGGAGGGAAAGGGAGGAGGAGCCTACTGCCAGCCAGACACACATTGTCTGGAAAGCTGCCTCACCAAGGAGGATTCTTAAACATCACAACCAGGATACTTTTAGAAAATGATCATGGCAACATAGGTGCAAATATGCTGGATACAATTGATGTATGGATGGTTAAAAGAACTGTAGGAGACCCCAATAAAATGATCTTTTCATTAAAAATAATAATAATAACTAAAATAAATATAACTGGAATGCTCCTAGCCAGAGACAAACCCTCATGTCCCTGGAACTCGTCTTCAAATCCGCATGGTGGTAAATTGCCAGAACAGTATCGGTCAAGCTGCCCACAGCCCTTCACATTCGGCCTGTGCTGGCTGAGAGGGGCAACCGGGGGCCAGTCATTATAAATGGAGCCTGCCACCC